TAATCCTAAGACTATTTGACTTCAAAATTATATATTATGATAAAATTTGAAGGTACACCTTAATTTGATTGTTTAAGGTTGCACCCTTAAAAAAACCACACCCTTGCTAGGAAAGTGTATTTTAAGAAAAAAAAAAAAAAGTGAGACAAAGAAGTATGGGCCACAATATAGCTCGGTGGTGGCAGTGGACAAAGAAATTGTAAAATGTTATTAAATGGTGTAAACAACCTGACATTACGTTTTGGACAACCCTGAAGATAGATGGTATTATATACCTTTTAATGGAGGACGTAATTTTCTTTCATGTCAATTGAGAGAAAAATTGTGAAGCTGATGGCGTTGGAAAAGACACCACAAAGATAGCCTAGCCTTTGAATGAGCCCGTTCCTATATATGGTGGCTATGACCTTTCCCTTTCCTTTGTTTTGAATCACCGCTTCGGCCGAACCGGGACATACGGATCAGGCGAGAGCAACTGATGTGATTTTTGGTTATTTCACTAGGGCCGTAGCTCCACTTTCTTGAGGTTTTTTCTTTTTTATATATTTTTTTCATCTCAATGAAATCTCTAATTAACGTTCAAAAAGGGAAGAAAAAAAAAAAAATTACCATCGTCTTGACGGGTTTAAAGGAAATTTGAGTGGCATTATTGCTCTTCATTCCTAAGATGTGCAATTGGTGATCTAGCGGCCTGTGCCATTGAGTTCATCATTCAATATACTAACCACCGGCTTAAGATTATGGAACCCCACCACGGCCGTCTTCGATCGACTAACCACCGGCTTAAGATTATGGAACCCCACCACGGCCACGGAAGATAAGCCACCTCTTCTATCAACTTGGAAAACTATCAACTTCGAAAGCTATGGATTTTAAGGGAGACTACGGAAGCTGAGGCTTTTCAAATCAATCTATTTTATCTTAAAATTTTAAGCCTTATAGCTTCTCTCTGCTTTCAAAACAGCATAGCACTTTTACAGTTTAATAAGTATAAAAAATAATTTTAATAAAAAAAAAGTTTACGGCTAATGCACATTTGAAAATGAAACTCATGAATGCTTTTAACTTGAAAGTTATCATTAAAAATAAAATAAAAAAAGCCTCAAAACTAAAAACTTTCAACTCAGAATTCAACATTTTCTTGTTACGAGGGCTGGGCTTCTGGAAATTTACTTTTCCCATTGCAAAATTCATTTAGACTTTTGAAGCAAAATTCCAAGCCGCCTTGATTCCATTATTGGGGGACCACCGCCCTACATTATTACATCAAAATAAATTGTGGTTGGACAATGATACAGAGAAAATAAAGAAAGAAAAATGATGCATGTTTTGCCGTCCCAAACTTCTGCCTAGGAATAATTTGCTCATGGATGCAATTCCTTTGCACATCAACTCACAAGTAATGGAGACTCATTCAATGTTGGTAAATTTAGGGAATGTATATTAAGATGAGTCATTCTTAACCATTAGATTTGAAATCTAGACAGTAAGAACGAGTCAGAAAATTGAATAAATTGTTGTTAAATATTATGCACAATCAATAGCGTATTTTTAATCATTTGATTTTATAATTGATGGCTAGATGTAAGTGTAACTTCCTTGGGTTCAAAATAAATGATCTCACCTTGCATTTTTTCTAGCAATATAACCCAGCATTGTTCTGTCATTATCAAACTATTACTTGCCCATTGCATTGAAAGAGGTCTTTGTCATCTCATTATCAAACTACTACTTGCCAATTGAATTGAAAGTTTGAAAATAGCCAAATATTTTGTAATTTTAAAAACGTCCTTATTATTTCATATTTAGGCTCATGCAGTACTTTTTTAGAGTGCATCTTGTGTTTTAATTTTAATTTTTTTTTTACTTTTTCTTATATATTAGATTAAGTTCAAATTTGGATACTCATACTTCTCACCATTATGCATCTAAAAGAAATACAATCAATAAAAAAATAACCACAGTATCCCAACAAATTCTAGGGTTAATTGAGTCACTTTATTTCATTCAAAGTATTATTCTTCAAAATTTTCTACATGTGTGTGATGATGAAAAATATTGACACCCAAATTTTGAGCTTAATATATATATATATATCATATGATTAAAGCATATGAGGTCCTTTTAAATAGTGGGATATGAGTGTAAATCATAAAATATTGGGGACAAATTCCACAAAATATTTAGAGATATTTATAAAAAATTCCCTAGGAAATAATCAAAATCCAGTATACGTTATATGTGGAAAATAAATATTTTTTCAATCACTTACCCAAAATTTTTTTTTTTTTCAATAAGGAGAATAACAAAACTGAATCAAACCGTTTGGTTGTCTAAAATATGAAACAAACATATTTCATTTCTGTGGAATATCGTGTACTAATACTGATGAGTGATACTTGGAAAAACAAAAAATCCAAAAATGAGATATTAGTTGTCCAGAAAAAGTTTTACCTAAAGAATTATTTTTTGGAAACTTATGTTCTTGATAAATTAATTGGCCAACAAGTCATGTATCTAGTAATAAAGCATGTCCAAGTTTTTTAAATATTCTACTTTTAGAATAAATGATAAGTTGTACTAAACCCAATCAAGGTAAATTCAATGGAGGATTTAGCAACTCACTATTGCCTTTAATAAATTTAAAATACTCTATTCAAAGTAAATAGTAATAAATAACAATAATATACAATTTTTCTTTCCTTGGGTAATTGGTTCGATGTTTCAAAACTCATATTGGTTGGTTGGATCGCCTCTATAGATTCGTGACGGATCTCCAGTCCAGATCAGTTTAGATTGGCGATCAGTTTAGATTGGCGATGTGGAAAATATTAAAAATAATAAAAAAAAAAAACTCTAAAGATTTTGTATGTGTGTGTGGGGGGGGGGGGGGGGGGGGGGGGGGTACGGGGGTAACGTAAACTTAAAAGTTAAATTTAAAACGTTTAAAACGTTTTAACGTTTTACGTTTTTAGGGTTGGGT